TTGCGTTGTCTTTCTATTCAGATTTATTATTCAATGGTAGTAGCAAATATTGAAAGAGCAGGGGAACGTAGGAACGCTATATCCTGGAGGATCCTTTTGATCTATCATAATTGTGTAAAATTATATCGGTTACGAAAAGAAGAAGTGGAGAAGGTATACTATAAGAATTTCTCTCAGTCGACAACATATATGACAATAACGTTTGTATTAGATATTGGCTGCTCTACGGCTCTTCGCTGGAGGAAGGTCTCAACTAGAAATTATATGGTGCCAATAAGCCAACCAATATAGTATCACGTGCGATACATGATGTCATAGATACATTTAATGATCATCAAGTGTTAAATGCATACATACAGTCCCCAGTAACCTTGAGGACTTGTCCTCTGTCAGACAAAAGTATCTATAAGGATAGGCCAATTAAAAAATGACATGGACATTACACGAATTTAAATATATTATGTTATTCACAATAGCCAAAATCAGACAATGCCCGAAATTTATAACCATACTGCGTTATGGGCACTTCGGTTTATTCAGAATGTGATAAAAGTTTCGTTTTCCGATGAATGAGTAAAACTATTTAACCAAAATGCGTTCTGGGCATATTTATTCACTCACAATACGATGCCAAATCCCATACGCTCCTGTTTCGCATTGTGGGTATCTTTGTTTGCCCATGCCACGTTGCGTAATAATATATAATGTTACTAAACGTTATTATTTCGTTTAAAGTAAATTTTTATTACATAAGAGTAGAATGTTATTTCTTGAACAAAAGTTGGATTTTCTATTTACATTTACTGTTTTATTTAAAGGCTGTATGACTAATTTTTGTTACAGTTATTACACACAACGCGAAGTGTGCAAACCAAGGTACCCCTACAAACCGAAACATGAGTCGGTACTGGTTTCGGGTTGTGGGTACCCATGCGTTTTGGTTACATTTTTTTTACCCATTCTTCGGAAAATAGACTCTTATCGCATTGTGGGTATACTGCACTGCTCACAACTCGTAATGGGTATAAATTTCGGACACTGTCCGATTTCGGCTATTGAAAATAACATATATAAAAGATAATGTTTACAAACAGCATAATAAAAGACCTTCCCCCATTCTCTCCACGATTTTTCAACCCCTAAAATTGCATTTAACTTAGTCCAGATTTCTATTAATTTCTTCTTCATATCCGCACTGTGTTTTGGTACAAAACACAAAAATCGTGAAAGCACATTCCGTCGAGGCGTTTTTAGATTGCCTGCATTAAATTTTTACAACGATGCCACAATGTGCAAACCGTTTTCTCAAAAGCGCGAACCTTAAGCATTTAGAATACCAAAATCAAGTGCGTATCACTTTGCTCACCGCTTTGAAAGCGTATCATTTTCAAGCTTAGACCATATAACGGGCGATCAAAAATGAGTTGCTGTCGAGTTGCCTTTGGAAGTTCAAGTTTAATACGATTTTCCATGTAAACAAAAATTGCAAAGGCGACTCGACAGCAACTGATTTTTGATCGCATAGTAGTACAGTGCGATCAATATTGAGTTGCTGCGCCGCTTCAATAAATTATGACGTTAGTAATCATTTGCCGCAACAGGCCTGGTGCACCAATACTAAAACATAACCTTAAAAAGTAAACTTTTGACGTTTAACCATATTTAACCTAAATCAACGATTTAACCACCTCGTAAGTTTCCAAATTATGTGGAACTACACGAATAACGAATTACTACAAAAATTGAAACGATTTTATTTCTTTTACAACTCGTTAATATCGAAGTAATTGGGTAAATTACATGCACACTATAACAACTGTTCGAAGTGCTCGCCACCATTATTAAGACAGGGATTCACTCTTTTCTTCATGTTTTCGAAGCCGGCATGTAAGTGCTTTGCGTAATGTTTCAAACGGCAGCTTCTATACCTGCTCGGAATTCGGCAATGGTGTGTAAACAATTTCGAATACGTTGCCATCTCGTAAATTTGCATGCAATAATTTAGACGGCTTTGCAAGTCTGGACGATGAGTTCTTGTAACACGGTTACTTTAAAGGATAGAAGTACAATTTTCTCCGGGCAATAGCGTCACACGTTCCGTATGAGATGCCCGTTAGTGGGACAAATTGTCGCAGCTGCTTTTTTCGACTTTGCTCAAGACGAGCAAGAACATCTTTTACAACCTCCTTATTAGCAATCACTATGCGGCCAGGTGACTTCCCAGAAGCAAGACTTCCTGTATGTTAAACCGCTCAAGTAGACGATGAGCATTTCGGCGTATATTGTTGTAATCCTCGTCATGGTTGACAATCGTTTATCGAAACTCCTGTATACACAAACGTATCGAGTACTCCCAAACTCCACTTTCGTCTTTAGTCCCATTACGGAAACAGGACAGCAAACGCATCTTATTCTCTTCTAAAGTAAAAGGCTTGTCGGAGTAAACCTATTGCCTATTACACGCTACAACTAAAAAAACGTTTGTTTGTAATTTACAAGTAATTTACCCACCTTGTAAATATTCGAAAGAAACTGGTAGTCTTGAAAAAAGCCGTTTTGAAAGGGACGAAAGTATTCGAATAAGAATCACAAATCATGGTTTTGGTTTGTAAAATTATAGGTTATGTTTTGTATTGGTACACATATACCTGGTTGCGGCAAATGATTACTAATGTGATATTTTATAAGAGCGGCGCAGCATATGATTATTGATCTCCCTGTACATGAACTGCTAATTGTAACTAAAATATGGTCAAGGACATACATCGCCTGGGTATGTGCGTTTCAGGGTAAACGAGTCTGGGCAAAATCAAAGCCGTCTATAATTACAAGCCATGCTGAGAAGTTTGGCAACGTTGTTCGAAAGTCAATCGGTGGGCCGATGTAAGTTTTAATGGCATCTTGTTGCTCTTGAAAAATGGCATTTTCCTCTCCCCTGTGTTTCGCCTTGGCGGTTTTAATTTAGAAGAAAGATACTTAGGCAGCTTACAATTGTACATATAATTTTTTAATTTACAAAAATGGATAATAGCCAGGTTGCGGACAGCATTTTCCGTTATGTTAGACGGCCATTTTTTCTTATAAGTTTATAAGTATAAAACATTTTTATAGCAAAGTTAAGTTGCGGTGTGTGCTGGGCGTGTTCAATTTTGCTTATAAGTTTGAGGGAGTCTTAACCTCACTTTTATTTTACATTGTGTTAAAATGTCCAAAGTTCACTACTATGCTCTTAGACAAAAAGAAAAGAACTACCGCCAACATAAACACTGCACAATTGTAGGTTAGCAGGAAAATGTTATTTATGAGTGATTACGTACTGCGCAGTGACACATTATAAGAACTTCATTTTCATTGGTTCCGCTATTTATAAATATATCGTACAAAAAGCCCTCATACCGTAAATTATTTCTACAAAAATTTACATTTCTTATGTTATAAGAAAAAATGGCCGTCTAACATAACGGAAAATGCTGTCCGCAACCTGGCTAATAACATTTTTATTTGACTTTAAAATTCGGAACGCTGTAAATTGGTAACTGCATCATAATGTGTTTTCCATCGAGATCTCCGAAATTGGTGCACTTCTGTCGAAAGAGGTCGAGGTGAAGCACACGCTTGAGCACTTAATTTCGGTAAAAGGACAGTAAATCGCTGCGCATCAGCGAGGTTATATCAACGACCAGGTGTGATTCGGAATGGCAGACTTTAAGCCAGTCGCTACTCCAGTGGGTCTAGATACGAAGCTTTTAAAGAGCGGAGCCCCATAGACTTCAAATTCCCGTACCATGAACTCTTGGGAATAAGTTGAAAGGTTTCTTCAGAAAATCGATTTGACATGTCCGTGCTAGAATACCTGAAATACAAAGTAATTGTATTTTTTCACGATAAACACTTACCGCACTTACATACCAGGTAGTGTGTAGGTCATATTTGAGCTTCTTACAGGTACTTTGAAGAAATAGAAGTGCTTGTAAAGGGTCCAGTAAGGAGTAGCCTGCTTTAGAGGTTATGACAACAAATCGATATATTTCGTTTAGCAACTTACCTGAATAATAATTTCTGTTAATTCCGTAGGGAGTAACACAAATTGTCGCAATCTCGCTCTGTTAAAACGGGTAAATAGGAATATTACACCCAAAACACATATAAAATACACTCAAAATCTGTCAAGTTGAATTAGGAAATCGGCCTACCATGCAGTGTTGCCATAATTCTCAGCACGGCTTGTAATTATAGACGGCTGTGGCAAAATTGTCCGTTGAGACACGTTTTGAGGCTGTCAACCTATAAATTCGCAAACGTCAATTAATTAATTGCCTAGATATGGCAAAAAAAGCAAACCTATTCTTATTTGTGGACGTATAGAAGATAATCAAGAGTATTTAAAGCGTCCCGAACTATGCGATTACCATAAAAGCTACTCTTTACCGCAATCCGAGTGGTGTTCATACGATTCTACTTTACCCTGAGATTCACATACCCACGACTACAATGCCCTCATTTGCCCTCAGTTTTCAAGTCATAGTTACAGAATACGGGCCCTGGTCTTGGTCTTAAACTAAGTTTTATCAAGGAACCAGGTAAGTGTATGATGGAGGAAATGAAAATTGACTGTTGGCAGTGATTATTTATTAAGTTCACATGTAAAGCCGGCGGTCCCAGCAGTCATACCACGGCCGTCTTTAATTCACACAGACGGCTGTTGATGCCACCTGAAAACGTCTGTACCTAGGGAGTGCCAGCCATACGATACTTACGTGCAGACTTAATTTGTGGAGAGATTGTTTTAAATTATTAACAGAAGGTGCTATCTATAAAACAAAATCAACACAAAAAAAAATTGGTTTCCGCATGCGCAGACCGGAATTTGTTATTTCCAAACCAATTCTTTTTAAATTTTAGAAGATTGTGCTTTTTGCAAATCGTTTACGACCACTGATATGACTTTTATTATTTTAAAGAATATGTGATATATTTTTAAGCATATAATGTTTTTCTAGATTCTTTCCTAATGAAGTGATGCGTGTGCCATTGTATGAGGCTGTTCCCGTAGAATTAGTTATATCACACTGTTGGGTGATGGACTTAAATACATACTGTAAAGGAAGGCCAGTCAGTGCACCAGAAGAACACATATACATTTGTGAATATCGCGTAGATAAATCAGCTAGATTGTTTAGCAAAATCTCAAAAGCTAAATACCCAATTTGTACGAAAACGTACGCATTTGAGAGATTCGACGTTAAACTGAAGATATCACGAACCTACACTCCGCACGACTTAGATCCCGCATTTGTGAAGCCTCGTGGACGCAAGCCAGTTGAAAGTGATGAAGCAAGAGAATTGCAAAAGTTGCCTGTTCATGTGCCTGTTCTGAGGGTAAGTACCGTTGTATTCTTGTGTACCAATTTTTTGTTTACACTTTGTTTTACAGACGCCATTAGAGAAAAAAGTAAGGTTGAATAAGTTATTGTTAGCATTGTTAAGTAAAATGCCTACGAAACAAGCTTTAGATGTTTCTTATCTATTAGAGGGTGGAAGAAGAAGAAAAAAACAGTTAGATAAATGAATGAAATGAAATATGAATATATTTTAATTAAAAAGCAAACGCTTGGTGCCGGACACATACACAATTAAAAGACGAGGTGTCATTAACATATTAACTAGTCACCCACTAACAATAATTTGATCGTTTAATTATTTATTTTGATTGTAAGTATACTTTTTTTTGGCGAAACCAAAACCTTTACATCACATTTTTATTTATATATTTTTTTTATTGGTGTATTAGTTATAAAGATATTCCTATTTATTTATTTATTTGGAAAAAGTACTAACCAATTTTTACATTTTTATTATTTTACATTACCCAGTGTTATATTCTTAAATGTATGTTACATTATTGATAGTAGCTTTACAGAATCCTTGTTAGCTGGTAGATCTACCATAACTTCTTTGTAATTTATAAAATTACAAAAGGTATTTTTGTCAGTTAAATGATATTAACGGTAAAACACTTTATTTATATTTACAGATTGCATATAGATGGTTTTGTTTAGGAATATATATCCGAAGTTTATATTCTATTAGTGACATGCATAGTTTATACCGGTGATATATCTGAATAGTTAGTACTATTTCTCTAAATGTATATAGTTGTAGTTTGTAATTTATTTAGTATGTAATTGTTTTATTTATTTATGTTTTGTCTATGATAATGTGTTGTACATTTTAATTAAAAATCTTAATGTGACACCTGATAAAGCTAATTATTCATTAAACATACAAATGTTTTTCAAGTTTTCATCACACTGAAACTGTTTAAAATAATAAACTTGTTATATTTTTTAATAGGCCATTTATTATGCCTAATCAAAACCTAAATAGTGTAGGTATACTTTCACTATGGTGACAAACGTAAGGTGGTAAAGCAAAAGAGCACATGTTACCATGATTTTGGGAAATGATTGCACGTGAAAAATATGCTGTGGGACTTTGGTTACTAAAATCTTGTGTAAAACAAAACCAGAATTGAAAAGGACAGCATTTTTTTTTAAATTTAAGTCGCAAACAATATAACTGCAACATCAAACGATTGATGCATACATACAAATCTCTTTGAAAGTAAATGTTAAATCTGATGCTAACCAGCTTGGGTAACATTCATGTACTGTATGTAAAGAGTATGCTGTTTAACTTTACGTTTTCGACTGTGATATTCAACATTAATGAGACTAGATTTTATACTATTACGTCTCGCCAGGAAAGAATTCTGGTCACAGAACACATGATACCACTCTATTATCGTATCATATTAAACCATACGATTGTACACGTGCACATGCAGGACAGAGGGAGTACACCAAGTACTGCCAATTTCTCGGCAGTACGTGTACAAACATTTGCTCATATCTATCAATTACATTTGTGTGGAAGGGAACTGGAAGATTTACCGGGTGAGGTAAAAAGTTACGGAACCTACCCTCATTTTTTTAAAAAGGAACACCATGTATATTTTAGTCTAAAAAAAGTAAATTCTATTTTCACAAATATAACATACGGGGGATGATATTTAAAAAAATTCAACAAACTCAAAAAATATATTAGCAAATTAAAAAATGGTTCAAATGATACAAAAAATTCTTTTTTTTTTATCTAAAGCATCTTGCAATCAATATTATTATTATATATTATTATAATTATTCTAGTGTCTCTAAGTACAGGGTGTCCCATTATTGACACTTTTGCAGAGTACATGCCTCCGTAAAATTTCAAATATAAGTGTCGTTCGCTTTTTTTGGGGTCAAACTTAAAATGGTAAAATCAAAATTTAAAAATATTCGCTCGCTAAGAAATAGGTACGGGGTACCTCCCGGGATACATTAAAAACTTGTCAATTTCAGAATGGACCTATATTTTCTTGATCAAAACAGATACAGAAAAATATTTATTACAAAACTCTACAATAATTGTTGAATAATCTGCCATTTTCAAAATAAGTATATGGGGTCAAGTAGAAAGTGATCTGCCCTAACCTTAATTTTTAAACGAAACCTGTATATTTTAATCTAAAAAAATAGCATATTAAGTTCTCATTGCAAAAATTAAATTTAAGAAAATTCAATATTTATAGAAAAAGATTCAAAAAGATTTTTCAAAAATGTTTTGAAATTTTTTTGAATCATTGTTAATTTTTTTTAAGTACTTTTTCTTTTTTGAATAGCAACCCTAGTGCATTATATTTTTGATAAGAAATGGAATATGCAATTTTGTAGATCAACATTTTTTCCATTTAAAAAAATGAAGTTAGATCTGCTAACTTTTTTACCTAGTTATTATTATTATATATTATTTACTTAGTTATTCTCCAATCATTATAAAGAAGCTTTTGTTAATAAACAGTTTTTCACCGAAACTTGGTATTTGGTGGTCTTGTAACATGAAAATGGACCAGTGTCTAGTTTTTGAAAATTTCACGTATTTAAAAACAAAATTGCCGAACAATTTTTCAATACGACCTTTGAACCCAAAGATGCGCATTAGAACATTCCTACTTCCAGTGAGGTCGGACTAGATTCATAAGGAAAATAGTTGATAAGGTAGTATCCCAGACATCGGGGCGCCATCAGGCGCATCAAGTCGATAAAAGATTAGCCAGTGAAGATAAGGGATGGAAGCGGATGCGACGCGTTCTTTCCTTGAAATATGATGCGCCTTCTAAAGTCTAGAACTCTAGACTGTTGGAGAACGTTTTGTGATTTTTCTAGAAATTTTTCGTTTGCTATGTAATCAAACCGAAGCATGTTTAATCGCAGTTCCACATCAATGCCTAAGATTAGTGAAATTTGCGCGCAAGATTGTTACAAATTCCTTAATAATTAGTTGTAGGTAAATAAAACTAACTTTTGGACACTTCTTTGAGAGTTGAAAAAAATATTTGTTTTGACTTCCTCTATCATCAGATTTTCTTTTGCACAGCTGAAATGTAACACCCTGTACAGATAGAAATATGTAGTTAAGCTCCAGGCGAAGCCGTATAATATATGAGAACAAGAATAGCGACTACTCTATTTATTAACCGGTATAAGGTATTAAGAGGATTTTTAATATAAATTCCTCGACAACCAATGGGTGTTAGTATTTTATTAATGCTATACCAGCTATACCTATATTTCAGCATGTATGCATGAGAGTCTTACACTCAACAACATGGACATCGCTTTACGAATATACCTTTTTCTTCTAGCAACGAATGCGGCAGGTGAAAGGTCGTTCTCTACCCTTAAAAGAACTAAAAATTATTTGAGAAACTGTTTGAAAAATGAAAGATGATAAAACGGGCGACTTAACATTATTAAATATTTCTATAGATATTTTTAATTCAATTCTTTGGGCGAAGATTCTATAATAGAAATATTATTGCTTTTAAAGATTAGAAAAAAATTTTAAAACGTTCAGGAAATTTAATGTGGTTTATGTTTGTCTAAATGTTGTTTATTTATCTTATGCCTAAATAAGATTTTATTTTCTGATAAAATGCCATTTTTGGTTAGTTTTAAAAAAATAAAAATGTTTCTTGAACTTGGCGGACATATCTCTATCCAACATACATTTTTTGGAAGGGATAGAAGGGAAGCGCGAGAGAATTTTATTTGCCCAGGGCGAAAAATGTCTTAATCCGGCTCTGAACCTACAGGAGTTTTGCTATTGTAGTCTATCCTTTTTCCTCTCCAATATTTAACCGTGCATCCTCTTCTAGCGGCACGAAACTACACGCTCGTATTTGACTCGCGCCACGCCAGGAATTCAAATATGTTTGATTCCATCGCTCCACGTCAGGCGCGTATATCATTCATGGCGCGAATAAGGTATACTTTGCGAAGATGAACTACACGCACAGTTTTGGATAGACGTCACTCCAAAACGTAAGGCTTGTCTCACAGTGGAAGCGTTTACGCGCGAACTGGGATTCGTACGAATACTTACGTTTACGGACGAACTATTCAAACGTACAATTTCAAACGGCCCTTCGCACATTAGCGATTAATAAATCGTCCGTATACGTGCGTGTAATTGCGACGTGCGAACCGATCCCATTTTGTTCGGATTTTTATGCGTATTCGCAGGTTGTAGACGATTGTTTGTGAACAGTATTGCTCAGCTCACGATGCATACGCAGATAATGTGAGAATGCGATATGTGCGTACACGGACGTACAATTTCTGACGTTAACGTGCGTATTTCAGTTCGCGCGTAAACGCTTCCACTGTGAGACAAGCCTAAGGCGCGTCGTTCCGGGAATGCACGCGAAGGGGCCCTATTACTTATCTACACAGAAAATCGATATAAATTACATCCACCTGTCAATTAAATTAAGCATTTACATTTGATAACAGGTAAAGGCCAAACAAAATTCCCAGAAATTTCTCCGTTAAATAAAAAAAAAATGTAAACAAAAACAACCTTGACAAGGAGGCCGTCCGCCTTGTTCATCTTAATTAGGATCTCCGAAAATTTCAGCCTACCAGACGAAATAAACACAGCAATACATAATTAAATTAAAGGTATTATTCCAAAAGTGTAGATAAGTGAGGTAACAGGTATCTACCCCATCTACATTATACAGGGTGTAGCACCTTGCGCATCAAACTTGCGTTTTTTAAAATTGAATACCCCATATTTTATTACTGATTTGGAACCTTCGAATAATCAAAGTCTGGAACTGTACCTGAAAAATAATTTTGTTTATGTATATACCCCTAACTTTAACGATTTCGCTGTTATAGGTAACCTATTTTCGTCAAAATTTGAGTTTTGCAAAAAAATTTTTGAGAGAATAAATTAAATCGCGCAGGCGGCTAAGTTTTGGACTAAGGTACAGGTTAAGACCAAGTCATATAATTTTTTAGGTACCTACTGTATCAAAAAAATTAAATTTTTGATTAGCCTTCGCCAAATGTCATTATATTTTTCTTTTAATTTCTATTCTCTAATGGAACCACCCTAAACAAATTATACCTCTGCATAGACCAAACTACAAATTTTTCACTGATACAAAGAAAACCACTCATGATCATCCATAAGAAAATTTTAGACAAAAACCAAGTCCAAACGCCAATTTCTAAAAAAACCTTATTCTCCGAACCCAAGTGTGCCATGATGAACCAAAAGATGTTACAATTAACAGTAAAGTGTCGGCAGTGTATGATTGTTTTTTAATCAACGTTGCAAAAATGTTTCAAACTCAAACAGGAATGGTTGCTAGATATAGTGTTTATTCTTTAGAGACCGTTACCGGAATTGTTTGCTAGCAATTAGCATCATGAGTGTACGCTGATGAAAGATATCCTGGCAGAACATATTCAGATCCATGCGTGTTTCAAAAGGTGTTGGATAGATTGACAGCTACCTGGGAGTGTAAAACGAGAAAGGACATTTAAACGGACGCCAGTTCTGGCGGAAGATAATAAATAAGTTCTCCGAGCAGCTGTTGACAATCTTATCGTCATATTATAGTGTGAGTGAAATTAGTACTCCCAGTAAGTATAGGTAGTTGTAAATTTATCCAACACCTTTTGAAACGTGTGTGGATCTGGATGTGTTCTGCCAGGATATCGCCCAGCGTACTCTTGTGACGTCAACAAACAATTCCGGTAACAGTCTCCACGAATAAACACCATATCAACCAGTTCTGCTTAAGTTTGGAACATTTTCGCAAAATCGCAACGCCGATTAAAAAACAATCATACACTGCCGACACTGACACTGTACTGTAAAGGTCTCTACCCACTACAACGGATCATACCATGACCGTACTAGGAACGTGTCAGGCAAAAAATATTGTTTGCATGGAATAGTGTGGGACTGTGCCCACTACACCGTTTAGTCACCGACCAGCACCGTAACGTGCCCTGACGGAGCGTCAACGAATACGAATATTGTATTTTGACGGTGCCGATACGCTCCGTGCATGGCACGCGACGGTCCCAAACCGGTGCGCGCAGGTGCAGAAATGATAAACATACGGAAGTACATATGACATTTTTTTCGTCATCGACTAGGTAATGCCCAGTATTCTCCCTCGACCTTTCGTTTCGCACCCTCTTCCTGACGCGTTTGTTTACAAGTACAACCGATACGGTCTAGTGGGCATAGTATAGTCTGTATCGTATATTTTCCGTACCTGATACGTTCATAGTACGGTCATGATACGGTACGGTGTAGTGGGCAGATACCATTAATTGTGGCATATGGCACACTTGGGTTCAGAAAAGAACGTTTTTTTTACGAATTGGTGTTTCGACTTGGTTTTTCTCTGAAATTTTCTCATGGAATGTGTAGTTTTGTTTATATACTTTGGCTACCCAAAGGCAAAGCCAAAGGTATATTTTTGTTTAGCGGGTTTTGGTTGTCTAACCCTTTGCACTCCAGTAAAAAGTTGTGGGAAGAACCGACCACGGACGGAAAAATATTCACGATACCAACTTCTCCCATTTCTAAAAAATGCGCCAGAAATAAAATTAATGCGAAGTCTCTGTACATGGATAACATGATATGTAAGATATGTTAGACATTTCTTCAAGATCAATTAAGAACTAATTATTTACGTTTACTATTGTTTACAAATGAGTAACAAATAAAATATTGTACATTATACGCCAGGTAATAGTTTTTACTGGCTCTAGCAGATGACAAGCTCGCCTAACGGCTCGCTAGTCAACTTCTCCTATCGCCAGTAATAACTCACTTAGGTACCTGGCTAATAATGTAAAATACTATAACACGTTTTGTTATTGCGTATAAAAATATGGCAACCAATTACATATGGAATGAAAATCAAAACGCCTGAACGTCTGCAACCCAACCGCCTTATAGATCACAAAGGTGAACATTTTATCACAGATTTAAACTATCTGTGATTTTATCCTAAGCAAAGCAGGAAATTATACGAAATATAAATGTTAGGTACTTTAGCAGAGCAAGGTCAGCAGAACACAATCAAACATAATGCATAATTAGGTGCTAATTAAGTAGCCTATTCCCGAATTAAATGCTCCTTTTTTTTTAAATTATGACATGTTCGGTCAGGTTCATATGAACTCAGCAGAGCACTACCTCAAAAAACAAAGAAAATGAAAAGTGAACTAACTATAATTAGGTGCTAATTAAGTGTCATATTCCTGAATTAAATGCTCCTTTTTTTAAAATTATGAACCTGGCAGACATGTAATAATTAAAAAAAAGGAGCATTTAATTCGGGGATAGGGCACTTAATTATAGTTAGTTCACTTTTCATTTTCTTGGTTTTTTGAGGTAGTGCTCTGCTGAGTTCATATGAACCTGGCAAAACATGTAATAAGTTTTAAAAAAAAGGAGCATGTAATTCCGGAATAGGGCACTTAATTAGCAGCTAATTATGCAATATGTTTGATTGTGTTCTGTTGACCTTGCTCTGCTAGATTCATGGACATGTACTTTACTGCAATACGACACCCAAAATCTGAATGATAAAATTACATGTAGTTCTTTGGAGATGCACCAATCAAAATTAGAGTCTGTAAATGGCAAGTAATTTATTTCACAATAGAAGGAAATATGTGTGGATAAACATTTAATATTTGTGGATGGATGAAAATATCCAGTTTTTACATACACTTTAATTTTAGAAAAAGGTTTTAAATGAAAAACATAAATAAGCTCACTTATCTCATATAACTGCACTGATTTAATATAAGTTCACTACTTAATTTAAATTTAACTCTTTAAAAAAGCATAAACACTTAAGATCATGTACAATTTTGTGAAGAAAGACCTTTCTTTTGTATAGCTACAGATACAGCTGTTTCTAAAAAATGTGAATGATCTCCTAATTCAGTATTTACAAAGGAATCATTTTCTTTATCGGTCATTTTGTTTTTAATGATTTCCTTATGCACATTTTGGTAATTATCCAAAGTGAATTCTTCTATTTCTAAGTCATTAGCAAACGAAGGATCCCTTTGTGTACTATTCAATGTACACAAACTCTCAGTATTTGAATGCAGTCCATGCAGCTGAATAGCCATTAATATACCTTCATCCTCTACCTGATCATCGTTTTCTATTCTTTCAATAACATTTGACGCCTCATTACGTGAAATCATGCAAGTTTCCAACACTTGGTTTATAGTATTGTCCATATAACCTTTTACAACCTGTCGCGCTTGCCACTTTTCTAAGTAATCATCACGTTTCAGATTAGGTTTGACTAAAGTCACAGGAATTTCATCACATATTGATTTTACTATATTTTGTGTACATTCATCTTCTGAAGAATCATCGTTACTCATTAACTTCTCAGATTGCTCTAATAAACTCTCAACATAACAATTACCGTGACAACCAATACTTTGATTGAACGAAGCAAAATCTGAAATTTTTGGACCGTCTGCATTGTTCTCAGCTTTTGTAATTTGCTGATATTGTCCAGAAGATTTGGGACTTTCTACATTGTCTCTGAGATGATATTTGCCTTTCAATTGCCAAACGTAGCGAGCCTTTTTTAAAGGTTGTTCTGATCCATTTACGCAGTCATCAGATTTATCACTGGAACAATTACCTATTTCTTCGCTGCCCATTTGGAACATCCAGTAGCCTACAGTCTAATCAACTGGGGTTCATTTACACCTTTAATCAATATAACAATAAAAAATTATGATATTATAAATAATAGTTGTGTACCTACTACTTACTTAAGGTACGTGTACAATTTTTCACTTCGTTTATCCAAGCCTAAGCTAACAAACAAAATCAAATGTAAATAAATAAACTTGTCAAATTTATGAAAATCAATCCAACAGATGGAGATAGGCAACAAACTATAAACCTTTAGATTTCACATCTACACCATAGAACAAAGCAGCATCGCTAACAGCTGTACAGTGTACTATCATTGACTAAAGTAATCACCGATTAAGAAAAACCTGCACTATAGGCCACCAACATGTCTCCATCCTTCCACAGCGCTTTCTATTTCGTTTGGTTCGCAACTTATAGATTCGCCGAAACAATTCTCGATTTTAAAAAAGGCGAAATTATACAAACTGACTTTATTGAAAAGAGTACAGACAAGGAATGAATTCTAAGTCATTTTACATTAATGTGAAATTACAATCTGTTGATCTTGCTTTCTCGTTTCCTTGGAAAGGCGGTGCGGATCCCGCGGTTCTTATGGGAAACGGATACTTAACTCGCATTTCCAACTTATACCTATATGTTAATAATACGGCAAAAATAAACCGACTCCTCCCAACAGGTAATTATAAATCACGTTTCGGACAACACGCCCGTAAATTACGTTGGTATTTGTTAGTATTGGGGTTTTATTACTTTATAATTATTAAGTCCGTTATTTTATTATCAAGATATATGTTTGAAATAGAGTATCTACGATTATATACGAATTATCTTAAATTTACCATGTAATTATTTTCATATTCAAAACCTACTTTCAACCGAGGGGTGAAGCTTGATCTAGAGTTTTTTAAGTTTTCTTATATTGAATCAGAATTCCACAGAAACTGAAATATACTCTGTGTTAAGATTAAAATCAGCTCAAATGTTCCCAAATATTTATTTCGTTATGAACTAATTTTTTTATGTCTAAACGAAAAACCACACAAACTTCGTATGCATCTTAGAAGGAAGTATGCATTATAGCATTGAGTAATAACCTAATCCTTCACTCAACGATTATAGCTTTCACACAAGTGTAGTGTGCTTTTGATGACACTTTATTGTCTAATTTGTTGGCAATTGTATGTCATACATCTGCTGCAAATGGTTTATTTAATAGATCTTCCTTGTGCTAAGTCCGATTGCCGTAGGTTGTACATGAAATATAGCTGCGTTCATTGGACTAATACACGTCTAGTGCGCCAAAGACAGTTTGCAACTTGTTACATAAATAGCTATTTCCGCACCCATATGGGTAGGTAAAGAATTGTTTTCATCACAGAAAAGAGTCCGTTGGCGTTGTTGTCCGGGTTGTTTTTAGTCGATAACTCAAAATTTAATGGGACAAATTGCGTACATTTTTGCAGTCCTTGCCGCGTGGGGACGGCACCACGCTCGTATACCAGGAATAGTGTAATAGCGTTTTCGATTGGCAAAACTCGTACTGCACGAGTGTTGCACGAGAAACTGAAGAAATCCATATATGAAATTTGCTCTCAATGGAACATAAATATTCGTAAATATTTGTTGTCATTTGTCCATAACCTCATTTTAGATTTAGGTAATCGACAAATCTCTATTCTAAAAAATGACAAACGATTTCAGTATTATTTATGATAAACGATGAGGAATATAAATTTGAAATTCCTGTAAAGGACCAATTTTTGGCGTTCAGTTTAATGAGTAAGTGCAACTTTTTGTAAAATAGAAGTTATGGCTAGTTCATCATCTTCGCTATCGCTAGATGACGACAAAAAACTCTCCCAAAGCAAGAAACAAATTCAAATTGTCGCACGTTTGTTTTGAAACTTTGTTAACTAGCAGCTCCACGAGCTCTCGGACCTCGTGCGTCGAAATTTACACTGAGTGCGTAATTGTTGCATCACATTTGCCAATGGAACACATAAAATTGCCCTAAAATTACCAATAGGACGTAAAAATTGCACTCGTGCAGCACAAGTTTTGCCAATCGAAAACGCTATAAGATTCTTACACTATGATACAGGTCTGGACAGTGGCGTAGCTAGGGTTGTAGCATTGGGAGGACTGAGCTCCCTAGCGTCGGCGTAGTGCCGGGTGGGGGAATTCGAAGTTTAATGATAAAGGTCATTATTATACTGTGTCATAATGAAGGCATTATGATATCAAAGTAGAAAAAAAAATCGTGCGATTCTGCACAATAGGACAATGTAGGGAAAATTGGAAATGTACCTGCCGATTGCTGCCTCTTCCTCTTTTATTTATTTATTTATTATTCCTCTTTTGTGCAGGGCCCTCAACAGGCTTGCGCCCAATTACAGAGTGACCCGCATAATGCTTTTTAGAGGTGCCTCAGCATAAGGTCCTAAGTTGTTCTATACTACTCCGGTATTTACCTTACGAACTAGGAAAACCTAATTCGGAGTAGCCGGTAGAATGCTCGAAACAGGTTTAAGGAAATTCCCATCTCTGTCACAGATGAAAAATTCTTACCTCAGCCCAGGTTCGAACACCCGACCTCCGGATTTATAGCCCAACGCTCTAACATTGAACTACAAAAGCAAAGCTGTTTCATTCATTTGATGTAGCATAATGTAAAGATCTTCATGAATCCAATCTGAAGCAAACCGCAGACTGGTTTAATTTTTATAAAACTTTAAATATTCCTGAATGGCAGAATCTGGATTCGTTTTTTCATCTCTGGAAAGGTAAAATATAATATATTAATATGACAACCTTGCCACAATCCCCTTCTTTATTTTCTTGTAAAAAGAATGAAACTGTGATTCAATTTGGGATTTACAATCGCATTGCAAAAATGAATGCATGCATATATTTATCAATTATTTACCCATTACGGATAATGCGGGTGCCCAACATCCGAATGAATTAATTAATCGTACCTGCTATACATGCTACGTATTTATCACATTGGTCGGCATACAGTGAATTTTTTTTAATGCGAACATAGGAGATTGCATGCAATGTAATTTCCTTATGTTCGATTAAAAAAAAACATCAATCTATTGAGTAGTTCAAATGAGTAGTAGATACAGCTGTCACATTTTAAAAAATACCGCCGTCCAATTTAATTACGAAATCGGTTAGGTTATTGCTTAGAATGTCAAGGAGGACACTTTTCTTCATTTATGTATTGAATAGATCAAATTAGTAGAATATCAGGTGCACATGAACTACAAATAAGTGAAGGTTGGTTCACAATGAGTTGTGGTGTCAGTGCGTGGTCTGTGAAGTCAAGTTATCGTAAGTTTAAGAAAAATTTATCCGAAAGTTGCTATGGCCTCACATGGCTTCTTTAAACAAATCTTACCAAGTGCTCTTCATCATAAAGACTATAGAATTGCTGTTCATAGTCACACAAGTTGCGCGTTTTGCTGGTGAGAATGTGAACCACGCACACCTCATAGATTGATGTGTGTTATGTTCAAAAATACTCAGATTCCAAATTTCGTGAACACTATAGAATTTTTCCGCCTCGTGTCAGTGTAGGTGTGCGCCACTTCGTGGTACTTTTGTTAAATCAGAAATGGCGTAGGTACTCAAAAAATCTACGAACACGTTAACCAATTAATGGTATAATCGCTTCTAACGTAACGTAGGATTTATTTTTTCTCGAACCTAGATTTCAAGAATAAAAAATGAGTTATAAACTTGGGCCTGCAAATCGACAACGCAAGTTTTTGATAAGTAGACCTTGTAAGTATTATAATATTTACAAAAATCAGTTTTGCGTTTGTTTGCCCAATATGTGTAGTAAATTGTAGGTAGATATGGTAAATGTGCGTTCAACTTGCTTGTATAATAGCGTATTGATGATAAAATGTAGAACAAGTTTAAAAAGCCATTATGCAAACATAAATGACGAAAGCGTATTTTCCTCCTAATAAATTAATTCTAGAACCAGGAAAAAATGCCGATAGGCACGAGATGCTTACCCATAGATGGTAATTCTATGTACTTACCCCATACTCTTTCAAATGCCTCGTCGAAGTCGAAGTCTATACAGTTTAATGGAAAATAGTGGAGCGTATACAAATACATACATACAAATTTTGAAATGGGCATTAGTTTTGCGTTTATTCGAAGTGTCTACATATGAGACTTTTGTTAAATGCCTTCGTAAATAGCATTGCGCATTGTGTAGGTACATTAAAAATTTCATTGAATACCTTCATAAATAAAACATACATCAGCATTCGTAAACAGTAATTTTGAAACCGGTTTTAATTTCATTCAAAGTGCCTACATAATTATGATACTGGTTTCATAAATAATAAATTTGCTATTGCGCATGCGCAAAAGCAAATTTTAAAAGTGATGTTAAGCCTGTCTCACAATTGACGCCAACGTGAACGCTAACGCGAACGTGAACGTGAGCATTTAATTAAAACATGAATATTTACTATTTCCATTCACATATAACGCAACGGGAACGTGAAAACGTGAAACAAACGCGACAGTTGGTCAACTTTTATCTTTCCCGTTCCCGTTGGCGTTATAATTGCGATCCAGCCACATAACCTTTAAAGACCAAACTTAACTATTTTTGTACGAAGTATTGCATGATTATCCGTTTGTTGAATTGAATAGAATAGTCTGTGACTACCACAGAACACATTTTAATAAACAAAATATTCCGTGACAAATCTTAACACTCCAGGAGCGTAACGTTAATTGTGAGACTGCGAATTTGTTCATGTTCACGTTACCGTTTGCGTTTCCGTTGGCGTTTACGTTTGCGTCAATTGTGAAACAAGATTTGCTTGTATTCCAAGTGGCTATGTATTAAATTTCATTTATCTACTTTGCGTTACTAATCGACTCATTATTATATCAAAAACAGTTTAATTATGAAGGCTATTATTAACGTGTTTTTGGTGATTTTTATTTGTCGTATATTGGTATGGTAGCATCCGTCGCGGCACAGAATCATATATATAAGAGAATAACATTATAATTAGTTTTTAGAACGAAAAAATCGGTCGCATGAGTGAAAAGATAAAACATTTTCGGAAATTGGCCGCCATCTTGAATTCTGGACTTCCGGTTCAGATTTCGAGGTGCCAACATCGATATTCGTGTTCAGCAGGTACCAATTAGTAAAAAAAGCCTTGTTGGCCAAATGTTGTCTGAAATGCTCCTAGGACAGAAAAACTTCGAAAAGTGAACCAGTCTAAATAAAATGTTATAGGTACGATTAACGCAAACAAAATAAAAAAATTAACATCGTTAACCTTTGTTTGTCTCCAACTGCACCTTGAAAATAACTACCGTATCTATTTCTATAGTGATGTCACTCTCAATACTCTGTGCTATAAAAAAACGCTCAGAAATGAACGCGCGCTGTTGCGGTGATCACTTCTCCATTTTGACACACGGAACTACTAAATAAAAATAAACCTTCAACCGTCCATTTTACTCTCCCGGAAGCACAAACCTCTCCGTTTCGATACGGTCGCACTAGAGGTCGCTAAAATGTGTCAGGTTCCTCTGCCCAGCCCTGTAGTTCAACATGGACAATATGATTTGCGTTATCGGACATTTTTCTGTTTTATAGATAGACAATGGCTACGATAAAAGTGTCGTAATTATTATATTATATTAAGGTACGAGTAGTAGCATATGCTATCAATACACAGGGTTAGAAAAAAGGGCAGTAGCTGGTAGAAAACGGTTCCTTTCGTTGAGACCTTTAATTAGACTACAATAAGAGATCAAATTAATTTTCCCCCCCCCCTCCCCGAGGCCCCGTCGCTCACTGATCTCGAAAAAGAGTCGCACGGGAAAGTTGTAGTTTGTACAAACCAATTTATTTCGATGAGATCTTTCATTAGAATACCAATGAATGACTACTAACATTAGAATGACAATGCCCCCCCCCCCTCGCATTTTTAAAAGTTTTACTTGGCGCCACCAAAGGCATCGTATGCTAAATCTTCCATTCATTGAACCTAATAATATTACGTTCGGTTCTGAAGAGGTCTGTAATCTAATAGGAGAGATCGGCTTCCAGGCTTTTTTCACAGTCGTCGTACAAGAAACTTAAGACGAAACGAATTACAATAGCGTAAACTACTTAGTACCTACAAATTGTACACAACTCTTGTGCAGATAAAGCGCATTTTTTAGCACCCCGATGAAATTTGCGCATTGAGCGCGTGGTTAATGCTCGTTATTTGAACTTATCCTTATCGAGATATTCGCGCTCAAATTGGCGTAGCCAATAGATATGTTTCACCAAACTATTATTTTCCCTTGTGAGTACCCTCCTTCAGCACTCCTTTCTCGAGGTATTCAGTTTGCCATCACCAAAAGGTATGTCTTGTCAAAGAATACTATTAGTTACTCTTTGGTCTTGTCCAAACGTTCTCTTTTTCTTTCGGGGGTACTGTCTTCCGACAGCTCCGTTCTCGACACATTCATTTTGACCTCGCCAATAAATATATTAGAACCATCAAACGTTGTAATAGTATTCGCACTATGTGCGAGTACTCGCTTTTGACACTCCGCTTTCAATATATTGGCACTCAAAGCTTTAACTCCACCAATAGATATGTCTCCTCCAGACGTTCCAGTTTCGATTTGTGAGTATGCTTTGCCGACACTTCGTTCTCGAGAAATTCGTCAAACGTTACCAATACATGTGTCTCGTTCAGGCGTTCTATTTTCTCTTTGTCGAGAACCTTCTCCGACATTCCGTTCTCGAGATATTCGCACTTAATGTTTTGAAATAATCAATAGATATGTCTCGTCGAGACGTCACTTTTTGCCTTTGAGTGTACTATCGTCCGACACACCATTCTTGAGGTATGAGGAATTACAGTATCATGAAAGAGAAAACCAATTTCTAGCTAGTTCAAAACGGCAAAGTGGTTGCGAATATACGGACGGACGAACAAAACGCAAACAATAGCACATTTTTTTAAATTCAAAATGCAATAAAAACAGCATACATAACACAAGACTTGGGAATTAAACCGCACACTTTGGTTGTGGATGGACGGGGTGTAACAGTCAAGTGCTTATGTCAAAAAAATTTTTGCAATAAAGAGGTAACCAGATCAACATTTTTTTTCGAATAAATCCAGAAATGTTTCTTTTGGGAGCTATGGGCACCTTATAACTGAGTATTTCGGAACATAAAAATAGTCCAACTTAGCTTTTTAAAATTAAAAAAAAAATTCAACAAAAATATGGGTTCACGACCATGAAAAAATCGTCAGATTTCGCTAATTATTCCGTCGCACAAGATGCATTCCGTAGGAAAATTGGTAACTACTTCACTTTAATATTCAATGAAATGCTATACAGGTACATTGCATAAAAACTGCCTTTGATCTACATTTAATTTAACCATGCGACACTTTAACCAGGCGTATTGGGTAATTTCAACGATAAAATGCGGGTAATTTTTTTGAAAAGTCATGACTCATGACGGTCGAAAATGAAAGCAATGTTATCAGCTACCGTTATTGTTCAATAAACGCCCTCATGCTTTTTATCCTTCTAACTCTATTCTTACACTATGCCCTTACATACATATCCAAAAACCTATAATAGAAGTTCTATCCTTCATTACTGTTGTAGTTCTTGAGTAAAAAAGTAAAGAGGAGAGTTTAGGGACATAGATGCCAAACTTATTTAGAATATGCGTTAAAAAGACATAATAAAATATAAATTAACTTGAAAAAAGATATTTAGAAATTCCTGGAGTTTTCAAACAATCCAAATACTGATTCGAGCGAGAAATGTGAAACGTATATTTATTTGTTTTTTTTAGTATTGCCATTGCCTTCATTGTTTGGCAGGTAATTGGTTCAAGGGACAGTGCTGCAGAGGTCTTTCAAGGATAGGCGAAATTACTGATATCGTTGGACAAGTGCGTTCATCGGAACGACAATAACGTAACTTAATACCTACATATTGCATATGTAGGTATTATCCCTCCCTACAATTTACTAATTTTTTTCACAAATGTAAAATTCCGCCAAATGGTGACTTTAATTGAAAAGAGTATTTATTTTTAAACAGGCAGTAGGTACTACCATTGAATAATGGTATTACGGTATTAGAAAATATGCAATTGAATGCAATTTTGGAAGGTCGTTGTATTGTACACAGTACATATAAGCGCTAAATATATCTTTTAAAAGGATCACTAGTGAAATGCGTTTAATTATTACAGTAGTGTTAATTAACAGACAATCAGTCCCTAATCCAACAAACGTTTCATTGACTTGACT